GTAGGACATGAGTTCACTCATGACTATGACGTATTCGATCACCAAGTGATCATCTTCAAGATGCAGATTGATCTTCCTCTTGAAGATGATCACTTGGTGATGGTGTTGGGAAGAGATCCTGTAATATTCATTACTACACCAAAGGTTCCAAACAGGGCATTACAAGTTCCACTATTCAGTTTGACAAAACCGCAATACCCTTTTCACTATATAATAGCTTCATCAAGCGTTTTACACTGATTAAATTCCACTTTAATTGGTGCTATATATAATAACAATTTGGATCATATGACCTTCTAACTACTCAATTTTGTTACCTGTGTTTTGGTTAAACTGATTATAAACATTTTTATCCTCGAAGAAAATTTTACCAACACATCAAATGGACATGTTATTACTATAAGTAATTACCATTTCCTCATAAGAAAAAACAGTTTCGGAAGAGGGTCATTCAGTGAATCTTCAGAATTTTCAGATTTAATAATTTCCAAACATGAACCTCTCATGTCCCTCTGTCAAAAGATGGTTTGCAAATGTGGAATTAGTCCTCACATTTAAGAAACGACTCTATGTTCTTTTATTCTTTGGAAAAAAGGCTCTTCCCGTTGGGCCCATATAAAGTTTTGAGAAGAAAACACAAATCAACTCGTCCTGATCAATAAAGTTGCTTAAATTGTTTTCCTTTTCAATAAAACAAGCGATGTTATTGTCGGATTCATCAGAGTGTGTCAATGTCATATGACGCTTTCTTGAAGTGGGATACACCTGGTGTATGGCTTGTTTTCGTAGTTTTTTCTGTGAGGAATGGAGTCGATAATATTTATCTTATAACCGTTGTTGGCAGCAATTTGTTTGATAAAATTCAGTTCTTTCTGTTCAATAGTCAGAAGCTTACCATTGAACGGTGCTACATTATGTTGATAAGGATATATGCCAATGTACATATAAAATGGTTCGTGAAAAGTTGCAAAATCATATTTATTATTTATTTTAGTACCAAATAGTCATGTCTAGAATATTTATTGAGTTATTTATCTCCATTTGAATGGTGAATTTTTACTGATACAGTTAGGCAGTTGGGTAAGTTTGTCGAATTTGTTGATTTCATTCACCCATCAATTTAATTAACCAATGGAATGCAGGCAAATAATTTAATAAATTTTCTAGACGTGACTTTTACTAAAATCAATAATTATCATGTTTTTGCAATTTTTCACAAACCATCTTATACGGACATTGTCATAGGTACACGTAATTCCTCGACACATTCATATCGATAAAAAATAGCAACATTCAACAGTATGCTTCACGGACTATGAAATATTCCATTGTCAGATAGTATTTTCGGAAGAAACTGAATCTTATCAAACAAATTCCCGTCGTCAACAACGGTTACAAGGTTATCGACTCTATTCTTTCCAAAAAAACTGCTAAAACAAGCCATTTACCAGGTCTTTACGACTTCAAGAAACAATAATACGCGTCGAAAGGACAGTAATATACCAGGCCTGTTAAAAAAATAAGATGAATTTTCATTTTTATCAAAAATCATTTATTTATTCAGTTCAGCAGTTCTGATGTGCACTTCTTGGTATCCACTTGATATCTTTTGGCGTTTCGGTTTCTATCTCATAAATCGTAGCGAAACGCCTTCCTTTCATGAGTTCTTCAATCAACATGAAAAGGTCGCAAGGGGCCAAATCTGGTGAATACGGTGGCTGTCTCATGATTAGGTGCCCTAAGAGCGGTGCCTGTGCGAAAGTAGTGATTCACATTGGATTTGAATCGCTGGAGATTGAATCCATTTGGAAAAACGTTCTCAGGAAGTTTATTCCACGTAAATGCAGTTCTCCAAATGAAAACGTTCTTGAACAGTGAAGTTTGAGGTGTACTGAGTTGAACTTCAAAACGATGAGCAGCCACAGTCCGTCGCGTATGTACCGCTCTTGGTGGAATCAAATGTGCCAAGTTACTTCCCGTGAAAGTATCTATAGAAGAGATACAAATCTCCCACCTTTCTTCGATGTTCCAGACTATCAAGGTTGCAAGTCATGTTCGCGTCTCCAATCAGGCGTTTGGCTCTTTTCTGGTAGGAATTCGGTAGCTTCAGGGTATGCTTAGTGGCGGAGCTCCATACATGAGAACTATATTCCAAAGGTCTGATCTGAGCTTTTTAAAGCATCAAAAGTTGCTGGTGTGTACAGTTTTCTGGTTCGAAACAGTGTTCCAAACTTTTGAGAAGCAACCTTTACAATTCCAGAGACATGATTGTGCCAAGACATACTGGTTTCCATTTCAAGCCCCAACACACTTATCGAAGCAGAAAGTGGAATTGTCTGACCCGACATTGTTATATCCGGTTCGGAGACATTTATCTTTTTGGAGAAAACCGATGGCCGGGTTTTGTGGTATTGAATTAAACCTGGTTACTTTTTACTTCTGGATCCTTATTAAGATAAGCAACCTCCTGCTGCCGGTGAAGATGTGCATCCGCCGTCGATCGTGGAATCCAAATGGAATGACGAAACGAGTGTGCTGTCGTCAGCAAAGCAATATATTGGATTCTTGGTTTTTTGCAATAAGTTGTTGATATACAATAGAAATAGGGTTGGAGACAATACAGATCCCTGGGGAACACCAGCGTTGATGGTAAAAGTATTCGTCGACGGCCACTTGCAAGGAACGTTCCTTCAGGAAGTTGGAGAGCCATACACAAAAATGATCCGACAAGCCATAGCTTCGAAGTTTGGCCAGCAAAATTTTATGGAATATCTTTGATCTATTCTTTTCGATAGCAGAAAATCGCTGAGCACGCAAAACACTTATTTTATGACTCTCACCAAGTAACTAAACATGCTAAACAGCTGCCCGTGGCATTTTCATACGTTTTTCGCAACTCAAACAAAACGTAAAGATGTTGGGAGGTGTTGATGTTCTTGCTCTCAAAGAGGATGATGTTACCAAGATGTTGGCAGCTGGAACACATCTTGGAACTGCAAATGTGGATTTCCAAATGGAACAATATGTCCATTAACGTCGCTCTAATGGAATTCACATTATTAATCTTCGTAAAACATGAAAAAAACTCTTGTTGGCGGCACGGGCTATTGTAGCTATAGAACACCCTAATGAAGTGATCGTCATTTCATCTCGTACTTATGGACAACGTGCTGTCCTCAAATTCGCTGCACATACTACTGCACTGCTACTTCCATAGCAGGAAGATTCACTCCTGGTGCGTTCACAAATCAGATTCAAGCTGCATTCAGAGAACCTCGTTTATTGATTGTTACTGATCCAGCCGATTACTGAAACTTCTTATGTCAACATTCCAGTTATTGCTTTGTGCAATACCGATTCTCCTTTGAGATTTGTCAACATTGCTATTCCTGGCAATAACAAGTCTCCATACTTGGTCTTCTCTGGTGGCTATTAGCTCGTGAGGTCCTTCGTCTTCGAGGAACTAGTCAACGCGATACCAAGTGGGAGGTTGTAGTCGATCTATTCTTCTACAGAGAACCTGAAGAGGCAGAAAAGGAAGAACAAGCTGTCAAAGAGGATGTTGCAGCGGTTGTTGAACCCACTGAAGTTTGCTGCTCCTCTAGATCCACCAGATATTGACTGGAATACCAATGAAACTGCTGACTAGGCAGCTGCGGTCCCACCAGTTGCTCCTGTAGTAGCTGGCGCAACCCCTACGTATACAGCTAGCGATACGGACGACTGGGCAGCAGAAGAACAGTGGACAGCTACAAATACTACACAGCAATCCGCTGTCACTACCCACTGGGGAAGTTCCAGTGATTGGCAATTAAATTGTTTTTAAATAATAACGTGTGATACATGATTTTGTATCAATAAAAAAAAGCTGAAACTGTGAATATATGCTTGGGACGAGTGTATCAACATAAAAAAAAATTTAAAAAAACATTAATCGAATGTGCGTAGCCTGCGAAATTGAACAGACTTTGGTGAACCCATCAATAACATCGCTCGTGTTTTGAAAAGGACAAACTTGGAAGTGGCTCACCGTATAAAATAATGATTTAAGCACATTCTTTAATAACATTGAAAACAGAACTTCATTGTCGAATAGATCAGGTTCTTGCCCAAAACTTTATATTGGCCAAACGAGGAAAACCTTTTCCCAAAGAATAAAAGAACATATGATTATTTTTTCAAATTTGAAGACCAATTCTATATTTGAACTATGAATTATTACATTTCGGAAAGAAAGGTTTGAAACTTAATCTTTTGGAATGCTTGGAAATTAATAGATTTAAGAATTTAGAAAATTTGACCAAAAAGAATTGAATTCTTTTTCTCTTTTGAATTTGTTTTCTGATATGGAAATTGGTAATTACTTTATTACATGTCTATTTAATGAGTTGGTCTTTTATACTGAAAACATTTTTAATTAGTTCATACCTAAACTCGGGTCAAAATTATAAGTCATTTAGTAAATCACATGACTCAGATTGTTATTGTATAAAAACGCTCGAAGTAGCTATTGTATAGCTGAAGTTTTGTAAATTGTCTAGTGAAAATCTCACAGTGTTACTTGAAAACATTGGTTATGGTTTGCAGAATATCTTATAATATTGAATTGTGCAGATACACGGGTATTGCCTGAATACCTTAACATACATTATTTAGATGCCTTCATAAAAACACTTTGTAGTTTATTTCACAAGGACGCCGTTATATTGTCAGTGAATATGAAAAAAGAATCAAAGAATTGAACAAAGTTGATAAACTACCGTGTATCTTAGTTATGAAGAATCTGAGACCCATCGAGTATTTAAATCCGTCTGGGTGTCCTTGACTACACATAAAAAATGTGCATTGCACAAAGAAACTCGATGAACAAGTTTCTCAAAAACCGAATTTGGAGAAACAAAATTTATTCAAACAATCCATTTCCATTTCATTATCTTCGGGAGCAAAATTCGCCGTATTATAATTTTTGTAACATATTTGTAATGGAAATTTTGATGTAGGAAATGTCTCCACCACCATACTCCGATTTGGGCAAAAGGGCCAAAGATGTCTTCAACAAGGGCTACCACTTCGGTCTCATCAAACTGGACTGCAAAACCAAAACCGGCGGCGGAGTGGAATTCAACACCGGTGGTACTTCCAACCAAGAATCTGGAAAGGTGTCTGGTTCCTTAGAAACCAAATACAAAGTCAAAGACTATGGACTAACGTTCACCGAAAAGTGGAACACCGACAATACTCTGGGCACTGAAATTGCTGTCCAAGATCAACTTTTGAAAGGTCTCAAGGTGTCTGGTGATGTCAGCTTTTCACCTCAAACTGGGTGAGTATATTTTTCTTGAAAACTTTCGTTACAGGAATATGTTCGGGTAGAGTTACCATAAGCTGAATTAAAAACAGATTAATCAGAAGTAGTACTCATTTAATTAACTTCATTCCATACAGTGAGCACCATATGTAACGGATAAATTCATTTTCTACGTTATTATCCATTTTCAAAAAAACCCCTGAAACACGTCGAATTATGTATTCGAAAAGACACTCTGTGACATAAAAAAAATACCCCCCTCTTTACCCTCAACGTGACAACCTCCCCCCCAATTTTTTTAATGCAAAAGGGGGTCAAGTGATTCCTCATTTTGAAGGGTATTCAATTTTTTGTACAGCCATATCTTTATTTTTAAATTTCGTGTATGCGTAAAAAAAATGAATAAATTGTGTTATCTAAATCATTTATTAAAGCAGTAGCAATCAATGTGCAACTAATGGAAGTCTTCAGATCAAGTGTTCAAACTGACAGCCATTTGTTTCTTGACAATAATAAAGGCGTTGTTGAAAGTTATCAACAACATCTTGAATGGTTTCGGGAGTGATACGTTCTATTTCTTCTCTAATTCTGATTTGTTCAATATTGTTTGGTCTATTGACGTATACTTTGGATTTTAGGTAACCCCACAAAAAGTAGTAACGCGGTGTCATGTCGGGAGAACGGGCTGGCCACTCTATGGCAACTCGTCTACTAATCCATCTGTTGGGAAAAACTTTATTCAGATATGCACGAACGTTAGCTGCAAAATGTGGTGGAGCACCATCTTGCTGTTACCAGATACTCCTATCTATTTGATTCGGATTATCATTATTTGGAAAAAGACTTTTCATCGTTGGAACTAAAAAATTTGTTAAAAACTCGTAACGTTCACCGGTTAATGTTTCGTTAAAAAAATATGGTTCAATTATGCGATTGTTTATAATCCCTGCCCAAACATTTACTTTTCTGGAATATTGAGTGTGGGCCTCCATCATCCAATGGAGATTTTCTCGGCTCCAATATCGACAGTTCTGTCTGACGGTTCAATATAAAAAAAAGTTGACTCGTCGGAAAACAATATATTTTTCTTAAACGTAGGATCCCGCAGATACCTAGCTTCCATTATTTCGCAAAACTCAGTTCTGCGATCTGGATCGTCTTCGTTGAGTTCATGTACCAATTGTACTTCATAAGGGTGATACTTTTCACTTTTAAAAACACGCAATATCGAACTTTGACTTATGTCGTAATCGGCGGCAAGTTGTCGGGTAGGTTTATGTGGATTCTCCTCGAAGTCTAGCAAAATATCCAATTTCTTCCCATTGTCAATCAATACACCCCTGTATGGTTTTGAAATATCATTGACAGTCCCAAATTCACGAAATTTCGTTTCTATTCTACTAACGGTAGATTGAGAAATGTGATGATCAGGATATTTATTATTGATCATTTCTTCTGGGTTCTAGTTTTGTCCCCACATCCTAGTAGTATTAACACTTCTACTCTTTGACGTTCTGTCAAATGAGACATTGCTAGAACTTTTAGCATAATATATTGTCTGAAAGTAATACTGAAAAAGAAACACAAGCAACAACTGCAAAACTGTTTTTACTCAACTGTCACGGCTGACAAATAACGGTTGGTAAAAACAAAAAAAATTGAAGGTGCATGGCATATTGTACAGCGGACGGATTCAATGGAATACCTACGTGATACCTTTCAACACTTTGAATTTTTTGTTTCATTATGATAAAGATTTTTTATTGATAGTTCATTACACTGTTCACGAATTGTACGCATGGTCACTTCCTTGCTCCTGATTTGTTGGAACGGTCACTGTCAAATAACTACTGTTCATCAGCCTTTGAAGCAGTATTAATATCTCTCCTCTTCATCTCTCTACTCTGAATCTAGAAGCGTCCAAATTTACCTTGTCTCGAAAATACTAGATATTTCCGTGGATGTGTTTTTTGAGCTTCACATCTTAGGGTAATATAACGAGATTTTAATTCAATTGCCAGGTGATGGTGAAAAACGAATAAAAAAATAAATTGATTTTATATCATGTGAAATCGATTTTTACCTCTGATGAAGTGGGATACTTTGTTGAAAATCGCTTTTTGAATAAATGCGATACGGATTGCAAAACTCTTAAGTAATTGTTCAACCACTAGAAATAACATATCCTAATCTGGCAGGCGTACATCTTATTTTGCTTACGTCAAACAACCTGGACAAATTGAGCTATATTTTATCCTATTAACCTCCTGCAATAACATACAGTGTGTCAATTTTAAAACTTACAATGGGATATATCTCACGAAAACTGATATCGCAAAATGCTTGAAACCGTTTCTAGGATAGTAAGGGAGAATTAAAGTGACATGAAAGAGAACTCACCCCATCAATCCCCTAGGCCCCACCCACCAAAACACAGAAAGTTTAAATTGCAAACCCCTACTTGTGATACATCATTGAAAAGACTATAAAAATGCTATCCAATGGTATGAATAATAATTGTACAGGGTGAAGCAATAATTGTGAAACTTTGGCTTGAATGGAATATTTAATTAGGTTTTTGTTGAACTACAGATTTATTAAAAATGTCAATTAAATAAATGTTCAAAGTGGGTTGCGTTGTTTTGAAAACAATAATACAGCCTGTTGCCAAAGTCTGCACGAACTTTATTATCAGCCGGCTTACTATGACTTTTTTATTTGTAATGCTACCTCCAAGACTATTATTTTAAAAGATAAGTGTCCGTCGATACTATTTTTGTTAAATAAAAACTTAATTTGCCGTTTTCGCAAAACCAGTTGGAAAGATCTGTTGTTTGGGTTCTGTCAGAGTCAATAATTTTTGGTTTGTTTGAGACTCTTAAATATAATTAGTTTTCATCATTTGTACGATCTGTACTGTCATTCANTTCGTGAGATATAGCCCATTGTAAGTTTTAAAATTGACACACTGTATATGAGTTTGGAAGATGCACAGTTCAACTTTCATTATGTAATTTTTTGTTTTTCTCGTTTACGAAAATCTTTTACCAAATTTGGTATACCTTATCAATAGGCAGTTTCTTGTATATATTATCTTTCTGTTTGTCTGGTAGAGATAAAATATAGTTTCTTTTACATAAAAGTAGTGGGCATACTTGGAGACTGGCCGTAAATCAAAGTATGGAAAAGAACAATTTGTTCAGGCCAGTCTCAACTTACCTACGCTGCAGGTTAATGGATATAATCCAACACCTTTCGTGGTATTAGCCAGGGGAGTAGTTGTTTTCTGATAGGTGTCAGTTCATTAACCTACAGTGAAGGTAAGTTAAGACTGGCCTGAACGAATTGTTCTTTCAGATAAATAATTAGTTCCTTTCAATTTACGGTTCAGTCAATTTAATACTGAGATCGGCTTTTTTGTATTGAACATCAATACTTTTTTCAATTCTTTCACTGATTATTTGAGGAGTATGTCTGTGTTGAATAACAAACAAATGAATTTATAATATCGAATTACAATCTTTATCTGAGATGAAACGGATAGCAACTCCAGCCAAATACCAGGTATTCGGCCAACCTTGCAGCCGAATATTTGGCATCCGGATTTTCAGCGGCCGAATATCCGGCGGAACGTTGCCATTTGGTGCAAGTCCAGAAGCACACTTGCGTAGGCAGCGCGCGAACAATAGGGATGTTGATGAGCGAAGTTAACAATTGTTTCATTTATCGACTTATTGTATTGATTGCAGTGTATTTATCTTTCAGCACCTTGCGCAGTGTGTACAGCGAAAGACTTTTTTCTGAAGCTGGCCTTATTTACGAAAACAAGCGAAACCGCTTGCTACCTTTTAATGCAGAGAAATTAGTATTCATTCACCATAATTTGCTCTCAGTGCAGTATGAGTACTAATTCATTTTCACAGTTGTAGAATTATTGTGCGATCACTGATCTTATTTTTCAAGTGATACTAATTGAACAAAGCAATTATTTACCTACAAATACTTGAAAAAAAACGGTTTTAGGCCGGATAGGCGCTAGTTATCTGGTATTCGGCCGGATAGTATTTAGGCCGCCGGATACCGGATATAAGAGGTTAAATGCACCTGAAGGTTAATTCAATTTTAAGATTCTTACATGATTATTTCATTCAGTAGTATTGAATATTCTCATTTCTAATTAAAAAGTATAGGAAATTCCTGCAAATGTTTCACTTTCCCGTAATTTCCAAGGCCTGTGTTTAACAGGTGAAGAATTAATAATTTACTCTTATTTTTCATTTTCAGATACAAATCCGGTCGTGTAAAGACTGCTTTCGTCAACGAAAGAGTAGCAGCTAACGCAGACGTTGACTTGGATACAAACGGTCCCGTTGTGAGCGCATCAGCAGTTGTCGGCCATCAGGGTTGGTTGGCAGGTTACCAGGCTGCTTTCGACAGCCAAAAATCTAAACTAACTAAAAGCAATTTTGCATTGGGATTCTCTACTGGAGATTTTGTACTGCATACCAGTGTGTAAGTGATTTAGATAATATCGAATAATATTTGAAAAATGGTTATTAAATTTCGTCAATAGGAGACTTGACAAAAAACATTCAAAAAAATACGTCGAATCGTAAAAAAATACTGCCCTGAAACTTATATCAAGCAAAATATATTTTTTTGTTCGGAGCGACTACAGTAAATCTTCAGAAATGTCCCCAAATTCTGTTGAAAACGTGATGCTATTGGTCATGACATCAATTTCAACGTGAATTCAGCACATATTTTTTTTCGAAGAGTGGGAACTTTCTTGATTGAATGTTTATGGTAGAGCCATTTTCTGGGTTTGTCGGCCGTGGTCTGCAAGTTGTCATGTTTGACGTTTCGTCAACGGCTGCGTAGACATTATCGAAGGCGACGAGGCAACATTCAAAATTTTCGGGTTGGTATTACAACTGATATCACATGTGCACTAGCTGAAAATTTATTACGAAAAGGTACTGACGTTACGCATTTGAAGAGACCCAAGTGTTCGGTAGAATAGTCTGGCTACCTGCACTAAATTAAAATCATGAAAAGGGCATTTTAATTCAACGAATCCACGCCTACTATCAATGGAATCAAACTGGATACTCAGACCTTGAATATATCTGATATGAGGGTAACCCAAGTGCTTTATCCGTTGCTTCATTTCCTTTGATGATATCTGCTGCAGTCGTAGACGAAAATTCAGGTATTTAAACCTGCAGACTACCGACAACAATCCCGATAAATAACTTTGACGAACATAATATTTCATTTTTGAGTAGCGATATTTTGGGAATAGCCTTTTCAGGTATATGAAGTATATGAAGAAAAAAAAAAGATTTCAAGAAAACATTTTCAAGTTTTTTGTTGAGATTAACACTCTGAGAATGAGTGTTTGAATGATGGTGAAGTGTTTTTGCAATTCTTGGAACCTGATGGGCATATTTATTATAATAAAACACTTATTAAAGTTGAATATATTTTAATATTTAGTGAACATGACAGTGAGGACGGCCAAGAATTTGGCGGTTCCATCTATCAGAAAATCAGTCCCAAACTGGAATCCGGTATTCAACTGGCATGGTCCGCAGGCAGCAACAACACCAAGTTCGGCATTGGTGCCAAGTACGACCTTGATCAGGATGCAGCTCTTCGTGCTAAAATCAACAATGCCAGCCAGATCGGTTTGGGATACCAACAACGTTTACGTGAAGGTATGACTTTTTTATATTATAGTAATTTTATTAAAGACACCGAGATTTCCTTATGAATCATTGTGAAGTTCTACTCAAAATTTACGAAAAATCTATTAGATGTCTGACAGGACAGTAGAACTCACATTTTTCAATGGGGAATGTTCCTCTTGACGAAAATCAAGTAGTTTTCATAAAAGAGCTCTAAAACAACACATTTTAAACTTATCATTTCAACCTTTTTCTTTAAAAAATTATTTAAATACTTGAAAAAGAGGAATGAAATAATGCATTCAACATTTAAAGGGATTCGTTTCTATTTCACCATTTTTTGGCTGTAATAACCCAAATTGAGGAACATTTCCCATTATAAATTGTTTCTGCAAATCAGTATCCTCTGAACTTGAAGTGTTCACAAGTTTTTGCCCATTAAGGGAAAATGTCAATAAATTGTTCTCTCTAGATTTAAGAAAATGCTCTTGGACAACTATTTATTCAAGTTACTCAACAATTGCTCATACTTGGCAGTATTTTATTGTTGGCAATCATGATTTCTGTCCGTCATATCTGACAATGTCATTAGTCCAAATAATTCAAATATTTGACATTAACGTGAGCCATTTCATTGATTAGAGCTTCTAATGAAAATTTGCAACCCAGCCACCACTTAATGATAAATTTTAAACTGAACCGCAAAAATTGCATATGGCGCCATCTAATGAGGTATAGAGAAATTAAAAAATTACCATAAATTCAGTAGTGCCAATAATGAAATATAACTACCACTCGGTTCATATCGACTATGGTTAAATAATAAAACAAATTTTCCATGCGAGCATTTGTTTTCTCAGATGCTACAACTGAAGTGTCTTCTACAAATAAAGTGAAGTGCGCTTTTGTGTGTAAATAATAAATAGGATGTGCCCCCTTGGTACCATCCTAATTTTTAGATACATATATTTATTGTTATTTGTCAAACAATTATCACATTAGTTTTACTTCAACTCTTTTTTTCAATGCTTCTTATCGATTTTATATTTCCAGGTGTCACCCTTACTCTGTCCGCCCTCATCGACGGGAAGAATTTCAACAATGGAGGCCACAAGATCGGGTTAGCTCTCGAACTGGAGGCTTAGTCGAAATACACCCTGTTCCATATTGTATTAGCGCCGCCACGTCTTGAAACCTGCTGTATTGTAGATATATATTTGTTTTAAAGGGACCTTTAGAATTAACTTTCCCATTTGTTCTTATTTCATTATTCAGAAATTATGGTTTTTTACACATGTATATAATTTCATTGGTAATGAACGATGTATGCTTTCTCTCCCAAAATATTTGAATATATTTAGGAGCATTTCGTTTTGCCACCACATTCATTATATGTCGATTTTTTCGAAAGGGTAACGGGCTACATTTACTTGCGTAGGTATCTCAATTAGTTTCTCGGAACTTTGGCCGTCACACCTGCAGGAAAGTATTCAAATGTGTATTGTGAACTGAAACATCAAGACAAGAATATATTATACAGTTTATTAGTTGTTTTATTCACCATTCCTATTTCAGATGAACAGAAGCAATATGAGTAATAATCAGTCTAAGAAAGGTTAATTATTTACGAGACCATTTGTTCGTCCATAACTTTCAAAATCCATTCAGGGTGGTTCTTGGAGATGCTCTCGATGATAGAATTGACTTGGTAGCATAGCGACTGAATCTGTTTGTCCCACTGGGGGAGAGTCTCTCTCGCTGAAAGTGAAAAAGCATGATTTAAATATATTGCAATGAACACTAGTATATTTGCAGAGGATACATTTGTGAGCCAAAAAAACTCTGGTCAAGCTAGGACACGTTGATTGTGCCTCTCTTGCTCCATATGCCAAAGCATCATTTAAGTGCTGAAGATATTTTAAATATTTTCGACTATTTTACTGAAGGAAAAACAATGGTAGACCTTTGAGTTTGTTACTGCAAATTCACCAGAGAGTGAATATAAATTAAAGCGTGCTATATTCGATAAGAGATGGTACGATTTGAAAAAACCAACATATATTTCATTCAAAGTACTTAGATTTACTCTGGAAGGAACCAAATTTAAAATTAATAATACGATATATAAATTGACGAAATCTCAACAATATGTTACTTTGGATAGCATCATTCTCGAAGTAGAAAGATGAGAAATAATAGATGTGGTAGGATAAGTCTATCTGAGATACTGATAAGTATAGGTTTTAAATATAAGGAGGGTAACAAGAAGGCTTTGGAGAAAAAATACTGATGTACTTGAGAAAACATTGTTTTTCAAGAAAATATCAATTTAAATAATAACAGTTCACATTCAAATAACAGATTTTCTTGATTTCCCCTTTTTCGAAACTCGTTGAGAAAATAATAGGTAGGAGAATTTTGATGTATATTGAACAAAATGACCTATTTTACAGTAAAAACAAGGTGTTTCACAAGGATCTGTTCTGGGTCCATTATCATTCTAGATTTTTATCAATGACTTGCCTGAATTCGTATCAGATTGTCACATAACTATGTATGCTGATGATTCTACAGTCACTGTTTCTGGGAAAAACGAGAATGAGTTATCAATGAGAATACATTTAAGTATTGATGAATTTTGTAGTTGGTGTCAACGTAACAAACTGATTTTAAATAAATCTAAGTCAGTATTGATGAAATCATTTGTTAGGAGGGATTACTGTTGTAATTTATTAATTTCGAATGACATAAAAATATCCAAAGAAGTAAATTTTCTTGAACATACAAAAAGTGTGCAGTAAACTTAATTCGGCTTATTATTCAATCAAACAGTTGAAACATTGTTTACATAAGTTTGGTTTATTAAATGTTTATTTTACGAATGCATACCCTCACATCAGTTTGAACATAATGGCCTGGGGATGTGCGAAAGAATTTTCATCTCTAAGAAATGACTTTTAAGATTAATACTCAATCTGGATACTCGCCATGCTACTGTTCTGAAAGGGTCCCTTCGCACATATTCTACTTCTCTGTTGTCAGCCAACTTTTGTATTGGATTGGAAATATGTTACTTTCAAATATCGGCCCCCATTCGGAAAATCAAACAAATTATAACAATCAATTTCTATTGCACACCTTTTAGGGAAAATAATTATTGCTATATGTTGCCATATGTTGATACATTAGGTAGTTTTACATCCTGACACAACTATTGTCTGAAACAATCTCAACCTTGAAGATTTGGGAAAGTGTAATGAGGAAGATATGGAAAAAGTTTTCAACTGGTGTGAATCAAACCGTCGTTTGTTTAATACTAAAAAACAATTTACTGAGATTCAAGTGCTCTTAACAAAATTTGACAAATAGTTCGGAAAAAATAGTAAATAAAACCTGTGCAAAATCTTCAGGAATTCACCCACTAAATCTAATGAACTCAAATTCGATGATAACTTAAATAGCAACACGTGTTTTGCTTTCTCAAGCATTATTTACTTTCTCAAGCATTATCAACACTTGAGAAAACTATTGTATAACAAAACTCGTGCCGCGGATTTTGTAAATCCCTTTATAGTGAAAATCATACAATAAACTGTATTAATGAGTTTTAATATGGATTTTTATGAAGTATCGGCCAGTTCTAATCAATTAGATACAATATTAACTACAGAATTATTATATACCTCAGAAAAAGTATTGATTATAAAGAAACATTCAGACAGGTTTGGCTCCCATTAAACATACTACAATACTCGCCAAAGCAGTTATATTGAACTTGCTCTTCCTTCTAAAAACTCCATTATTCACAATGGCTATAAGATGTATAATTACCTACCTGTTGGAATTAAGAACATAAAATCCATTAATGATTTTAAAAAAGCTGTGGAAAAACGTTTGGTGGAAAAAGCCTATTTCAATATTGAAGAATACTTTGAATATTCCTTCTGATACGTTCACTATTTTAATATATTAAATTTATTATTAGGATTTT